AGAGTGGATTTAGTCATCTTTACGAGTAGTGCATTTTGTTGATCTTGGAGTTTTTGTGGTTATTTCCTTGTTTTCTTCAGTATTTTTCTTCTTTCAGTGTCTTCGCTTTCTTTGGTATTCACGTTCCCTTTAGTGTCTTCGTTCTTTTCGGTGTCTTCATTTTCTTCGGTGCCTTTGTTCTCTTCGGTGTTCTCATTCTCTTCAGTATCTTCATTTCTTTCAGTATCTTTGTTCCCTTTGGCGTAATTCCCTTCGGTATCTTTGTTTCTTCGGTATCTTTGTTTCTTTTGGTATCTTTGTTTCTTTTGGTATTTTCGTTTCTTTTGGTATCTTCATTTTCTTTGGTATCTTCATGATCACTTTCGTATTTGGAGTCAGGTAAGTTTATCGCTTGAGGTGTTTATGTTGTTTTTTTTTTTTTGTACTTACTAACGTCTCTCTTCTAGTTGTGATTTTGTCTTAACACTTCTCTTTGCCTAGGCCAATTTCATCATTGAAATCATAGATATTGCGCTGCTTGTTTTCTGTATATATTAGTTTAGTTATGTATTAGTATTAGTTTAGTTATGCATTAGTATTAGTTTCATTGTGGTGATACGATTTCGTGTGTGTTTGTTTTATTGTGCTTTTTTTTTTTTAATTAATAAAAAAACTTAAATTTTTTTATATAAGCTATAATAAATTTTGATTGGCCGATTATGAGCAACAATCATGTTTTCATGTGACCGATTTTGATTGATCAATCACAGGGTGCACAACTGTGCGGGTGCATAAAAAAACTAAACCTATATAAAATATATAATAAAATTTAAAAGAATATATAATAATAATATAAGATAAATATAAAACAAAAATGTTTGCTAATTCTCTTTGATGACCACTTATATCAACCAGTACCAAAAAACAAGTAGAAGACTCAAGACTAGAAGTGAACAAATAATTTGTAAATTTCTTAATACAAACTATTATCGACAAAGTCTTTAGCATGATACACCAAGAAGCAGGCATTTTGGATAGTTTGCAAAGAGGTCAAACTCTTTTTTCTCTTGGGTAAACTCCTTTTTGCATTTGGTATCCAAATTAGAGAAGTCTCTGAGAACAGTAAATAGAGAGAAGTTTTAAGTTATTTTGAAAACTAAAGGCTATGAAGAATTCTTGGAACAATGCTTCTTGGTTGAAAAACTCACAAAACAATACTTTTCTCTTGCCACTCTCTTTTTTCATAATTTTCATCAAAAAGTAGAAGGTTTGGCTACCTCTCTTCAGAAGATTGGTATTGTTTATCACTTTTATTTTCAAAAGTCTTGAGTTATGATATACCGAATAAAGAACACAACAATCACGTGTGAAGAGAAAGTTCTGTTTGGGTTAAATCGAAGTATGTAAAAGTTCTGTATTTGAATCAGTTTTAACTATATAGAAATAAAGACCTTATATGACAGATCTGAGGAAGTAGCTTCCAATCATGCCGGTAACTATAGGGAAAACCTTCTATTTAATCTCATATAGCAAAGAAGCAAGGTGATAGAAAAAACTGTAAAAGGATTTTGTAAAATC